GATGTATTGTGAGCATATTCGAATGCTCACCGATCGGGTTTTTCTCCATTTTTGAGGAAGAACACTGTAATCAATTTTTGATTTACATGTTTCATCACCAAGCCATCAGCTTTCTGGAATTAATTCGGCACGAAAAACGCGACATCAATCGATGCGAATCTATTCAAGCCATTCTAACGGTAAATTTCTAATGAATGATATTCACGGCGGCGCATGTTAACATCCCGGAAGCATTCGATGCCGTTCCCTGTTGCCCAAGAAGACAGACCTCCTCCTAGCAGCGCGAGCGTCGCATCTGCATCCTCAAGGAAAACGTATCAGACCTCCCCAATCCCACTCTAATTTCCTCTTGCTCGCTCTCCAAGTGTGGCTTATCTTAAGAGTTCTTTATGTCGCACCGAATCATCTTGAAAGCCTACTCCTTTTCCAAAGGTTCTGCACCTTCGAAGGCTCCACATTTTCGAATTTAAATAGTCATTGCTTTAGCATGTAAGTCTAGTAAAGCATAGCTGTCGACTTGCAGTCTGGGCTAGAAAATTTGCATTTTAAGAGCTCTTCAGGCTAGTGTTCTCTGTTAGTAACGCATGAATATTTTAGCTGGCCGGACCTATTTCTGTCTCCATAATGTCCTTGGTTAGGCCGAGACATTCCCCGGGGAACCGAACCGAGCGCACCTAACTATAGCATTCGTGTAGACTACGACAACCGCACTGGTGTGCAAAACTTAAGGACGAGAGATGAGCCAACGTAACTCATTCACACCTTTGTAGCCCTCACAACGGTTCCTTTTACTTGCTTTTAATACTGTATTGTAGCAGTTCTTTCTATGTACGGTTACGTTCCATCGGCCTATGCTGCTCGGCGGCAACATATCACGGAATTGTGTTGGTCCTTAAATTCTGCTTACCGCGTGTACATTACTCATAGTTTTTTGACTTGTTTTTGTTAACTGCTGTTTTAACGCCGCAGTTCGCGTTGCGAATGTTTCACAAGAATGCTGGGTTGTGAACAAAACTTTCGCCCCAGGCGGGACTAGAACCCGCACCTCTCGCTTTCCGGGCAAGTGCGCTACCAGTTACGCTACCGGGGCACCATTTCATTCCAACTCAGCTTTTCATGGTATACGTACCATAGCTTTCAGCACTCACACGTCTAACGTGTTGAGCCGGTTAGCCGATATCGGCAATGACCGCGATTGTTTGTTAGTTATGCAGAAATTTATTTCTGTTTTTTTATAAGGCTGTTCA